GACTCTTTGTTCGTGAACAGCTCGTGTTCGGCTCGTTAAACAAATGAGCCGAACACGAACACACTTTTTGAGCTCGAAATATAAACGAGCCGAACACGAGCTGAGCATGGCTCGCTCTTGTTCGGCTTGTTTACACCCCTACTTGCAATCCCTAAAATGAGATTCTCTAACTCATATATATCAAAGAAGGAAGAAGGGTGGCATTGCTTCACACCCTTTGACTCTAAAATGTTGGCTTTAACAAATCCCAAAATCCCAAGGAAATGAAATTGTTTGTCGAGCTTTTTAGAAGGATAAAATTTTCTTGCTCGAGACGACATATCAAGAGGGAAATATTAAAAACTATATGGAAAGCGCAAAGATTATATTGGATTATCTTGTTGAATCAGAATTCAAAAGGATTCGACTCGAAAGAAATTAAGAAGAAAATAAACAATCTTAATTTTATCTAATAATACATTTTGGTCATGCTCTCTAGCTCAAAGTGATGCTAATTCTAACTCTACTTTTATTGCCTCATGTATTCCGCTAAAATCTAGATAAAATATTTAGGCAACATTGATTATATAGTAATTCTTGCCAATATTTTTCAAATTTATAGACTTTATCCTAGCAATAACAAAATAAGAGTAAGCTATGCTACCTAATTATTATTGCTAGTTAAGAGTATATGCCCTAAACAATGTGCTACCTATTTCTTAATAGTAATGTTTTCTTTTGTTTACTCATGAACTTGACAAAGACCTCAATTGCAAAGTGACATTTTTTTTGACTAATTATTGCTTATTTTTGGACCTCATTAAGAGAAAGTTGATTGTGCGGGCTCGAGAAACTAATGTTATATCCACCTTAACAACTTATCTCGTCCCTTCATATTTACTCGAAGTAAAGCCATCATTTGAGATCATCATTTTAGACCAACAAATCTCTATTTTAAAATCCTATAATGCATACTTCATTCCTTTTTTTTTTTTAATCGACATTTACTTTGAAATTTTTCATTATGAGATTTGTAAAATTATTGAATATCTAAAAGTGAATCTTAAATCTAGTTCCATTCTCATGACAATTCAATTAAAATTTTGGGTTATTAAAAAAATGTGATATTTTTCAAGTTAAGGAATTTATTGTGTTTATTATTGATTGCAATCAGAAGAAATGTATTTATCTTTTTAAAAACAAATATGATATAAGATTTATTCTTCAAATCTCTATCTTTATGTTAAAAAACTTGACTTAGTGAAAACATTAAAAAAATTTAGGATTAATAATGTTAATGATTATTTTAATTAAATTATCTATTCTTAATAAAAAGATGAATTATTCATCCATTCTCACACTCCACACTAAAATGAGATGATATAAAGAGAACAAATAGAAGCTTCTTGCAAGTTACTAGGACTATTCTCTATAGTTGTAAATGTTAAGATAGATGAGTACTACACTATTGAAGCTTGCTCATGTATTTTGTCACTACACTTGAGGTGAGCTTGGGCATGGCTTATGTTTTGAAATGTTGTTTATAATTGTTTAACAATTTCTTAATTGATTTAAAGATTAAGATAATTATATCCTTAATACTAAAAATTTAAATATTTTGCTTAATTAATAAACATAATTGGACTTTAGATTTTTAATTAAAGTTGGCATAATTCATAGTTCTTAAGGCATTATTTAAGTTTGATTAAGTTAAAATCTTAATTAGAAAAGATTTAAATATACCTATCTTATTATTTATCTGATATTTTTATCATACAAGCACTTAATAGTTCATATGATTTTTATCGTGTATAAATTTGTTAAAATAACAAAGATAAAGTAATCATATGAAAACAGTTATTATTATAAAATAAGTATGTCATGTTTTGAGTGATTTGTTATACAACAAACTTCTTCATAAGATGAATGAATAAGCGAGTTATTGTTCAAACTTTTTCATTTTTATGACTTGCTTTTAAAATTTTATTTAACTTGTCCATATTTGTAAATAAATGAACCCAAATGTGCAATATATTAATGAGTGTCAAGTTCTTTATTATGTTACTTCATTGCACTTATTAGTTTATAATCTTATTCTTCTCTTTTAATGCCAATTCTCCAAATAAATTTGAGAAGACTATCTTGAGCTCCACCATGCATGTCAATAGTACAAGGGGTGACAATTCCGGTAGCGGGTCGGGTCCGGGTCCGACCCGAAAATGACCCAACCCAAATAGGGTCAATCTAAACCCGGCCTGAATAATAAACGTGCCGAAAACTAAGACCCGAGTTTGACCCGGTAACCTGAACCCAACCCAAAATTTTGTGCTCATTCAGGTAAAGTTTGGGTTTTTAGGTTCAGCCCCAACCCAACCCAAATAAAAAACAAGTTGAATTCTCTAACCTAAACCCGACTCAAAAAATATTCAAGGATTTTTCGAGTCAAGTTTGAGTCGTCTTCGTGTGTCGAGTTAATTTTTGACGGCTCGAAATTGTACAAATAATGGGTGCTATGACGTAACATGATGCATCACATCTTTTGCACTTTTTTTATAGCAAACAGTAGGTATTTAAAATATCTCGGGCTATTTATATTATATGCACAAACAATAGTGCTTGGCAAATAACCCTATATTGTGCACCATTTTAATTTAAATATTTTAAGATTATAAATACAATTTAAATTATTTATGGTTGATTTTCCTATCTCTATTAAAACGACTCAGAGTTATACTCGCCTTTTATCTTCTCCCACTCAGTCCAACTCAACTCTAGAGCATGACATGTAATGCATAACAAGTCATAAGGCTCATCCTGATGTAACTCGCTCAACGTGTCTCACGTCACATGCCACACATCACATGGTCCTGTTAGTAAAGCCTCGTCCATACAACTTGCAAGCCTCACTAATTTGTGAAGGAGAAGTGCTTCATAAGGCTCGTACGAAGGTATCCTTTCTTGTATTTGAAGACAAGATTGTCATTTTTAGATTATATTCTATAAAATTTTGTATTTCAAGTGGTTGGAGTGCTAAGCACTTTAAGTGTAGTTTTTGTTTTTTTATCATGATAGTTTATCTTTAAAATTTAATATCTTTTTATATTTATTATCATTTTTATTTAGAATCTCTTAGTATTTTAAATTATGAATAAAAAAAATGTACGTTGTGTCATAAAATTTAATATCTTTTTATATTTATTATCATTTTATTT